GTAGGTATGTGTTAATCCATGCATGCATGTATTCATGTATGTGTATGTATCTAACTATAGGGCAATACACATATATACCGGCATGTTTATATTTTTGATAATATATATATATATATATTGAGAATTAACAGTGACCATCTACCAGCTCTCGACTTCGTCACGTCGGACCTCGGAGTTGTAACGCTCCTGCGGGCCGGGTGACTGGTGGGATGTGGTGGGTCTCTGAGGTGTTCTGGCCGGGGAAAAAGAAGACTTCCACCTGATGGTCTCGGTCTGATTTCGCCACACCGAACGTTGCTATGACGAGCCTACCCCAACCTGGAAGCTGGCCCAGTGACTTGTGTGACCAAACCTGAAGATAATATACCCTTGATTTCTCATGATCTACTTATATCTTGGGTTTGTCCCATGACCTGTAGCAGTTGGTCAAGATTTAGCACTTTTTAAGAGGGGCATGTGTACTAACCATCATCATCCACTGAAACCTGGCAATGGGATATATACCCTAAATTTGTCTATCAAAAACATGTATATTCCTATGTACTATTACTCTTACTACACCTCAGAATCTGGACCTTGAGCTGTTTGAGAGGATCCGCTTTGCCGGCATGATATTCAAAAAACAGGCCTGTTTCTTGATTGGTTTACTATCCCCCGTGGAATTACCGGTGTACCTTGAGAATTGATTTTATAGGTGTAAACGAAAAACCAGGCTCCCAGGGCAGTTTGCCCCACTATAGAATCAAATATAACCTCCTGCAGTGCTGGAAACCGGTTCTCCATAGAATCAAGTGCCTCAGGGTATGGGTGTGCATCATCATGAACAGATGATAGCAAAACATTGACACATCAATGATGCATAGCCAAGGTTGGTCTTGATTCTATAGGGAAGTGTGGGACATATAAGCTTGAAATTGATTTTTAAAAAAAACATTTGATAAATGTGGCCCAAGAGGTTGGTTTTGATTTTATGGAGAAGTTTGGGGACATATTGTGAAGGTTGAAATTGATTTAATAAAAATGTTTGGATGAAAGTGTCCCAAAAGGTTGGTTTTGATTTTGTAGACCTGATCTCACAGCAAACCATCCACTCTAAAATCAATTCTCAACCTTCTGTCAAAATGCTTTCAGCAATATAAAATGAAATATCAACCTACCTGACCTCACAACACGCCATCCACTCTAAAATCAATTCTCAACCTTCTACTACTCCAAATGCTTTCTATAGGGTTAATTGTTAGGACCTCTGCAAAATCTGGTGACATGGCGTGCCCTCTCTATATAATCAAGTGTTGGCACCCATTTTGAGAGAACAAACGGACTTTTTTGGACCCCATGTCTAAAATGTTGTGGTTTTTCAGGTAGGTTAATGATTGATTCCATTAGAAAAATATCTATAAAATCTGAGGGTCATTTTCAGCTCAAGCTCTCAGATTCTATAGAGGATAACCCAAAAGGATGATTAACTATTGTCAGGAATTTGCTTTCCTTTACGATATCTGCCTAACCTCTACTGAGGTTTTGCTTGATTCCTGCAACTCTGCTACTGCCACCGCCACTATGACCACTACTGTCTCCTTCACTTGTTTCCCAGGGAGGGGAGGGAAGATCCAACATGATCCAACACTATACCACTTCAAACTTCAACATGCATCGGTCTCACCGGTGAAACGACCGTCTCGCCTACCCCCTTACGATCAGTTTGAGCATGGATCGACTCCTTTCGTGCTTCCAACAGAGGTGGACAGTGACCTTATTGTAGGACCCGTCACCAGGGGTACCTATAGGATAGTCTAGTTCGGGTTCTTCAACCTGGTTTGGACCGGCCACCAGGAATCGGTACGAACACGCGCAAGACCTCTCCAGGCTTTCGCCGGAGTCCAGGCTCCTTTCGAGGAGGGCTGCTACTCTCCTTCTTCTCTCGCCGGGAGTCCTCGTGTGGTCTCACGGACACGAAGTGTCTTCACACGAAGCAAGCAACGAGCTCATCCGACGAGGCGTTGGCAACGGGCTGACCTTCCCAAACAGGTATGGTGAGAGGATAAGTTACAGTAGATACCCAAACACCCCATGGGACTGCCATAGGACTGCCGCCCCCATTGACCCCCAAAACCACCCCAATCGATCGGCATATATGGCATACACGGAGTGTTTGTGTTATTTTAAGAACATCTTTTTGCCCACAAGTTGGGTCACTGACCCACCATGAAGGACCGATGTTTAAACTCATACGCATGCTGCCAGCAATGCCGCAATATACAGAAACAAAGTATGCAGTAATAACCATTAACTCTAGCAAAAGGTACACACCCCAAGCCTGTGCAAATGCCCGTGAATCAGCACAAAGAACTTGAAATGACGGTGATCCAAGGATCAATCTCTACCAACAAACTCCCAGAAGTCCTTGCCGATTTCCAGTGATTGAAGTCTCAGTGTATCATAGAACCTAAATCTAGAAACTTTCAAGGACTTGACGCGGCTCTCCAGGTCCATTGCCCATTTGGCAAAAGGCACCATGACCACAACCCTCCAACCCCATAGCCATGGCCTTCTGATCCTTGCCCTGCGCGCCAACGACGCTTGGAAGACAAGGTGTCTGGTCGTGGTTTCTTGGCAATAGCCCTGCGCACTGTGCACTATTCAGGGGCAGCAGGCCCCAGGGGTCGCCACACGTTGCCTCTCTCTCCTCATCTCCTGCCTCTCCCTCTACCGGAGAACTGACAAGTGGAGCAAGTGGAGAGGAAGATTCACATGGAACCTGAACATGGATCTTTGGAAGACTAGCTTCCTCCACAAACCAGTGGTTTTCAGGTTCCATGTGGGTCTCTTCCAGGGCATCACTGCTTCTCTCAATATAAATCCAAGGGTACATCTGGGATGTCCTAACTGCTCCATAAGCGAAAAAAACAAGAGAAACACACCACGATACCCGGTGTGCGTCCTTCTCCAAAAACACCACTTCCTTACCTTACCGGCCTTTACTCTCCAAAGGTTCTTTGGGATCATTGGTTTAATGATGGATGTATCAACGCAGGGTGCGCCACATTACCAGTAACAGCCGGTAAAACATTGTCACTAGTTTTGTGAAAGGCCATTACTAATAATGATAACACCAATAATAATCATCATCATCCACAAAAGCCTGGTCATGGATTCATGGATGGTAGTGGGATATACCCAAAGTTGAACGTGTTTTGAGTCTTGCTGCAGGCATCTCGTGTCTCACCAAACACCGCCGCTGTGTGATGGCCGGAGCTGCATTTTGCCCAGCCTTGGACTCCGTTTTGTCCTGGCACCACGCCGCACCGGGAACGCGCAAATGACACCATGGCCGGGGCATGGAGGGACCTAAGGCTCCTAAGACCTACTACACTTCCTCCACCAGGCTGACATGGAACCGGCAACCATCACTTTTGGACTACCTCAGCGCCCAAAGATGCCCTCTTCTTTACACATCCTTGCCCACCTTCGAAACAGCTTCCAACGCCCACGGCCGAACCGAAGTGCTCCTCCCGGTCCTCGCGCCGCCGGTCCTGGTGGATATTTTTTCGCTTGGCTGCGCAGCTGGGAGTTGAGAAAAGACTCAGCAGATGAAATAGACTTCGAACAGGTGGACCATCACCGGGAATATATAGTGTATGTATTAAAATACCCAGACACTCCATAGGACTGCCGCCCCATTGACCCCCAGGTCCACCCCTGGCCGTTTCTCGGCATGTGGCAGTCCCATTAGTCGTGTCTGGGATAGGGGGGCCTCTCAAAGACCCCATGGCCCATGGAAGAAAGAAACTAGACCAAAAACCCTTTGGTTGGAGGCTCCCCAATTAAAATACACAACACCCATATAGCAATCACGAGTTAATGTCACTATAACTGTCACTGTAATTTCAAATCGTTTCGCATGAATATTCCGGATTTTTCTCCAAATGAGGGTAGGCCGACAAACACCGTTCAATCCTGTTCTCCTAAAGTGCTTGACCTATTTCTCGTATTTCTCCTGGTATTCTGGTATGCGCATCTGGGCTTCAACAGGAAGAAAAGTATGGCAAAAGTCATGAACAGTCAAACCACATGAAACCAGTTCCTATCTGTTTCCAGCACAGCACTCTCACACTTCGTCTCAACTCCAGACTTAGGAGGTCTCGTCCCTGGAGCGGGCTAGTTCAATCAGCCGGCCCAAATCGACCCGGTCCTTGCGTGGGGGGCTCCCGCTGTCCTTGCGCTCGCGACGATCCTGCGAGGAGTGCGTGTTCTTCGGGTGAGCAGGGAGGTTGGGTGACGTGGGGTCCGGACAAAGCGCTCAAACTCCCCTGTTTGGTGTAGGAGCGCCCCTGCTTGGCATCCTTGCCCCGGGGCGTAGCGATGCCAGAAGTTTTCGGCCAGGAGCCACAAGTAGCGTCCTGGTTCCTGCTAAACAAACCAGATGGCATCCTGAACCGTGTGAAGGAACTCCCCGTTCCTCACGCCTTCTCCTCAGAGCGATCCTCGCGCCGGCGTCGAGAGCCACCACGACCTCGATCGTCCTGACGACGCGGAGGGCGACGGAGCCACCCTGAGTCGAAGGGGACCATGAGCCACCCGACTCCATGGTGGGTCAAAGCTCTCTAGACTCCATCTTGCCTCCATGAACAAAAAATAACTGCACACCCAGACGATCCAGGTCAAAAAATGAATGGTGGCAAGTTTGAACGACTGGCACCCGCGATCTATGAACATGCACGAGGTTGATGCATTTCAGAGATCGATCTGAGTTCTTGAAAATTGCATAGCACCACCGAGACTGCCACTCCCAATGTCCTGTACGAGTAGTATACAGTGTGTATACTGTATAAATATTATATATACTGTAAATCACTTTGGGATTTGAGTCTCGAGTGGTGTTGTTTTTCACCAGTCCAGGTCCAATCCCGGTCGCTTCGTGGAGCGACCCAAGTGTGCCCATCGAACTCCGACCAACGCTTGGGACAGCTGAGCAAGCCACAGCATGATTCAACTTTGCCTCCGCCCACCACCTGCACTTTTTCCACCATGTCGGTCGCTGCACAGTCTTGCGGCAGTCTGACGGTCAGTTAGGCCAAATGCTCAAGAGAAGTCTTCGGCCGAAAATTCATGGAAGGAAAATGATCTTTCCCCTCATCTTCCAGACCTGCAAGCTGGACAAAACAAAGCAAAGGGCATTCCCACAACATACATCGGAAACCAAGGGCATTCGCTGATATTGGCAAACAACACAATCAAAGCAGAACAAAAACTACTCGGTGCTCATGACAAGTCACCTCCGCCCTTCCAATCTGGAAGGCGCCCAAGATTAAATGGGACCACCTCTCCTGTCTGACTCTCCATCTCGTATTGCTCCTCGGATTGGCAGAAGGCACCACATCCAACCATCCAAAACGGCCTGCGTTCAAACATGTCATTCAAAAACACCAAGCACACATGTTGAATCCCTTGTGTAGGTCTCTCAAAAGTCCTGTCGTGCTCAATAAGTAGAAGGACCTTGAGGGACACCATGCAGAATAGCCTGAATAAATACGCTATATTATTGTTGCAGTAGATTTTTTGTGCATAATAGAGTTAAAGAATGTTAAATCTAATTAGATCTGGATTGCTGGCAAACTTGAATTTTACCATATATTGAAATTTGGCTTGCCATGACTTACCTACCTAATACGTCCTAAAACGAACATTAACCCAAGGTCGGTTCTGTTTCCGGGAAGGGCCACAATCGTCCTTGGAAGTTGAAAAGGGTTATGGGGCGTAGGTCAAAGGGTCAAACGTTAAGTGGGAGAAATGGTTGACATCCCTGCACTTCAGCATGTACATACTAGCTCATGTACATCTCCGTGTCTCATTCTTGGGCGGTGGGGAGGCGATTTTGTTCAGCTGGGCTTCCCAAGTGAGACAGTCTGAGAAGATCCAGTGCTTCAGTGAAAAGCACAGTCGATAGGTGCCGTCCACGGCGGTGTAGCTCACGCGAATGAGGCGGTTCTCCAGGTCCAAACTGTACTGACCCACGCACAAACGTTTTCGGAGCCGTTCAGCATCACACACATGAGCCACCTGCGAGGGAGGTGGCCGCCACGGGACCGTTCCTGTTTGAGACATCGAAAGGACCGCAGTGTTTGGCACAATATCCCATGTACTGGTAGTTCCCTGGAAGATTTGCTGTTTCGAGAACATGTGTCGTTTCTAAATGTTTCGATCCTCCATTCAGCAAGCAGCACTCCGAAACCCGCTGCCAAACCCGTTTCGCGAGGGTCACACGTGTTCTGTCACCACAGGCAAGGCTCAAACACATAGAATATATATATATATATATCGAAAGTGCCGTTTCATAAAAGAAACACTGTTGTTTTTCTGGAAGCAGCTGTATAATTTGCATACTTATAATTCGAAACATGCTTGAAAAAGCGACACCCCGAGCGAATTCCGAACAAAAGAACTTCTAATACAAAAAACACCATCTGCTTTGCCTTGTTTTCCCAAAACGTTAACATTAAAAGAACCAGCATAAATAATCGCAGATTCGGTGCCTGAGTGTCTGGAAGTCCCTCTGACTTCACAGGGTTGCAATGGGTGGTGAAATCCACCCCATCCACCAAGACTTGCTCTGCAGCTTCTCTTGGACAAGGATCTTGAAGCACCATGGCATACCTTGGGCGCGTGGGATGCCACATCTTCTTCAAAAGATCTTGTATCGCTGCCAGTGACTCCCGTTTGGTTCTCATGTGTTCTCATTTTATGTGGGACCTTGCAGGGACCCCAATATCAAGAAATCACGTCCAAAAACCTCCAATGGGGGTGCAAATGTGGATTGCTTCATGTCTTCTAGCAGCACTAGGCATCCCTTTGTGAAGTCTTTGGAAGTTGGCGCGCAAAACAGATGGGATACTGTCGGCCCTCCCCATCTGGAGGCATCAGCCGCACGTACCTGGCGAAGGATTGGCTGCAGAACGTGCACCAAAAACTCTAAAAAACATGGAACCACGCCTGATGCCTCGTAAGTCTGTGAACGGCCAGAAATCAGTCAATGTTTGTTACTCTTACGATCTTGGTAAACCTCTTTTGAGGACTGTTCGAACCACAAGGCGCCGGTCTCCTGGCCTCCGATAGCTCACCCATTCAGCCTGTCCTCCTCGGCCGCCATAGGCGGCCAGCTGGGCGCTGTTCTTCCGGAGGTCGCTGTGGTGTCCCACGCGCAGCCAACGCTGAAAGCCACATTCGCCCACCTCGGCTGGCAGAACCGTTGGGATGGGGGGCCATCCATGTCAAGCAAGACATGCAGGGGTCCACGTCCTTGTTGCTTGCGCAGGATTTGAGCGGAAGCTTGCAAATAAGCTACCATGAGTTTCCTCCTGCCCGCCGGCCCCGTAAATATATAAAGAATCATAGACGGCAACAAACGAGGAAGATCTAGGGTGTAAAAAACAACACAAAATGCAACACTTGTTGGCTCAGGCCTTATGTATTCTATAGGTCTCACCTCGATTTGCACCAGCTTCTTCAGTTCGTGACCGAGCTTTGAACTCCCTGTTTGTGACCTCAACCAGGCATGTTTGGACCTCAAACCAGGCGGGTGTTGTTTTTGATCTCACTCTTTGTGAGTGTTTCATAAATTTGATTCTCCCATGATCTCCTATTATCTCCTATTATGTTCTATTGCTCTCATGTTTGCCACAATGGTGCAAATCCCTCATGGCGGACTCCAAGCGACGTAGATCCCATCGCACCGCGGTCTCAACGTGGATAGAAATGGCCGCCACCCCGCCGGGTTGGGCTGCTTCGGCTGAAGCCGCTGCGGGACTGGTGGCAGTGCCCACCTTTGATTCGCCCAATTCTGCACAACAAACCCCTGGTCTCAGGCATGGTCTATAGTCACCAGGTTCATGCCACTGGACCATGAATGGCCATGGATTTTAGTTTTGCTAGCTATGCTAGCTGCTAGATGTTGTCAATCAACAGGACCCACTTTACTAATCTGGTCCAATGGCTATGCTTTGCAAGATTTCACCATGTCGAGGGAAGATCCTCACCATGTCGAGGGAAGATTTCAGCGCAATGAGCCCAATGGGTCATGTCTGAGCAACCATCGAAGAAGCAATGAACACACCACCTCTCAGTGAATCTTCAGTGATCCAAAAGACGTCCCCGAACTTCACCACCGTCGCCAGCACCACTGCCACCCGGCTCCCAATGCCAGTGTCAAGTGACCACCTGCGTGCCCGCAGCACGTGGCTGTCCCACACGTCGGCCTTCAGCACGGCCTCCTTTGCGTTGCGGCACACCGCGGCACAGCGGGCCACGGTGTGCAACCCGGAGGCGCCCAGCACTGGATGGAGGAGCTGCAAAAACGCCAAAGCGATGGGGGAGATCTTCTCCTTAGCTGCTGGTGGGAAGGATGAACCCTGTAGGGAACCTAACCTAGTTTAAAAAGACAATCATGAGGATGAGGACGAGGATGGTGAGTAGTCGGGAAACAGCCTTGGAAAAAGGAGTGTAGCATAGCGGAGAAAACTCCGAAACTCATTGAGCACAAACCACTATTGGAAGTCATCCTTCACAACAAGCCAGCTTTCCGGAGTCATGACTTTGTCTCAGAACAGGCAAGCCAACACCAAGCCAAGTGCAAGAATAGAACATGATGAAGCCTGCGGGTGGGGGCCCGTAAAATTGTAAAAACTGCATTTCAAGCGAAACCATCCCAAGTCTCCGACTTCTCTGCTTGCTTCATCTCTTTCTCCAGCGCCTTGGCACTCTTCAACAAGACTTGTGGCTTGGTGAGAGCGGCCAAACAGGCCTCCAAGCTGCCATTCCTCACATTCGCCCATGCGGAGCCGGTCCAAGCCCGTTCGATGTCACGTCGAGTCATTGAGCTATATATGGAGTTGGGGCAGAAACCTTCCTGAAATGTCCAAACATTTCCCAACACTTCATTGACCGTCCGACATTTGCCGCTTTCCTTGAGGGTGGTGGAATTTGGGGTCCATGTCTCTCCGGGTCGGGGTTTAGAAGAATAGAATAAAACAAGAAGATACAAGAAGGAACATGGACCGGAGACCAACTCATCATAGGGCCGCAGGGCCACGGAAAAGGTTTCATCCACATCAAAATGGCAGCGTCTCACGACCTGTGGCTGGGTCGTAAGGCCCAGGATTCGTTGAAGTCTTCAGAGAGCAGGTTGGCAAGCTACGCAACTGACAAAAGTCTCCTGATCCAACAGTTCCTTGCCGGGGTGGTCTTTAGACCCGAACGCTTGGAATGAACCCCCACTTCTCCAACATTCTCCAACCACCCAAGCATGGAACTCCTGGCTGAGCACTCCCCAAGTTCACAAACGGCTCCAGCACGTCGGACCATTGCGCCTCCTCCGCATGGTGTAAGGCCTCAATCAGGAACTGCTTCGTCTCCACGTCCACCCCCGCATCGTCGAAGGCATCCAAGAGTTCCGACATGGGAAAACGGCACCGGTCGGGTACGTCCACGAGCGCAGGGCGTGAATGAAGGCTCCAGCCTCCGGTGGACACGTATAACTCGATATGATCACATACCTGATGCACTTGAGCTGCTGGGAGAGTGGTCTGGCATTGAAGCTTGGTCCCCCGTCCCTTAGTCTTTTATCTAGTTGATGAATGCTGATCATGGATATGTGGAACATGTCTACCTTTCTTCATGATCGCTCCGTCACACAAGATAGGCCTTCGAAGCTGTACTGGCCACGCTTTCCAGCCAAAGCGAATTGTGCCAAGCAAATAGACCAACACATGTTCTTTCGATCCTATATCAAGTAGCAGGCAATAGCCGGAATTTGCTGACGTGATGGTGGCCTTATCATCCAACCATTTGCAGAGTAGATCTATGTACTCAACAAACGATTTGTACTCCTTCCAACTAATCATACACAGCGGGATCTGTGTCATAGCATGTTATGATGTCACATGATGTCACATGTTCCCTTCCAGAAAAGCACCCTTAAGCAGTGAAAAAAGGTCCTATTCCTAGGCTTCGTCCTTGGCCTTTGTCCGCCATTTTGGCGGCGCATCCGCCGTTCCCTTCGCTCGGGACGGTCCTTGCGTTGGTTTCGATCTCTGTCCCGGCGATCCTGTCGAAGCAAACGGGATACAAACCAGAGTCAGAGCATCCAATGGGACTGGAAGAGCTACCTTATATTTCTAGAGGAAAAGCAAAGTTGAGTCAAACCACGATGAGAGGACCCTTGACATTGGGGTCATCAATGGGGTCAATGTGAGTGTAACTGTTCAACTATTCCACAGGTGCTAAAGGCCAATGGTTGGAGAACTTCCGCCTCTTTGGCTCCCTACATGCTTCATCATAATTTGGATGCATTTTGTCATTTCTCTCCCTCTCTCTCTCTCTCTCCCTATCCATCGCCCTCTCCATGAGATTAGCCGAAAGCCGAGGCGACAAAAATGATTGTTTGAAATTTTGGCTGAATGTTTGTATGCTCTCTCCCGATCTTGTTGGATTGCATGAAGTCCAGGTTGCCGCATCCTAATATTGGATAATATTATCTCTCTCTCCATCGCCCTCTCCAGGAGATAATTGATGGTATATATATATTATAACACTATATTTTGATCCGTTCTTGTTGGAGGCAGGTTGTCTTCCAAAACCCCCGTGAGTCACACCCCACTGCCTCTTCCTCCCGTGCTCCGTCTCCGTCTCACGCGCCTCGTAGCGGTCGTCTCGTCGGCCCCGCCCTCGATCGTCGCGGTGGCGCCGGTCCTGGAGGCTTCAGCGGGTTGGGTTCCACAGACTCCCTGGTCGCGAGGTGCCATGAGACATGGGGTTCCCGGCCCCAAAAGCTCACCTCGTCGAAGTGATGCTTCGGACAAGGTCAGCTGCCGCGGTTCACTCACTCTCCCGGTCCTCGAAGCGATCGTCACGGCGCCGGCGGGAGCCTCCACGCCGCCGGTCCTCCTCGAGGTGTCGACGTGGAAGAGTTCCGGGGGGCAAAGGGGTTTAGTGTGACTGGTGCGTTGGTCTTAATGAAGGGACCCACACCCCTTCTTTTAGCTTTGTTCTAAGTGGCAAAACACGTGGCGTGGCCTATGTTTTCTTTAATGCTCAAATGAGTCGTGTTCCTTTGCCGAAATCGGCATCAGGTCTTTTGCAAGTCAAGTAATTAGATCGATGCAAAGTATAGTGCACTAAAATAGACGATAATTTGTAAAAAGAACACATCATTTTTCCTATAAATTGGAAGGTTCCAAATAGAAGATCATTTCAGCTTGTTGCAGGTAGAAGACAAAATTATACCGGCATAGACCCCAGATAGCACTTCAAGAGAAGTTGGACACCATGGCAAAAGCGGGAGACAAGCTTGGGAGACATCCCACTCAAGGCCGGGAAAAGGATGGAAAAGGTAAACAAGACCTAAATCATTTTATAACAACATCCGCGTCAAAGGCAGGCCAGAAAATAACAAGGCGGCCAAGAGTGAAATCAGGAACAAAGACAAGCTTGGGAAACACGGCGGCAGCGGCAGCCAGAGCGAAATCATGAAGGGAGACAAGCTTGGGAAACAAGGCGGCAGCGGCAGCCAATTTCTGCAATCCGGAACCCATCTATTGAGAAGTAAGAACCCCTATAGCTTGCAGCTATCTGGTGAAAAATCACAAATTAAGTAATAGATATTAATAGGAACAAAGGAGTGGATGCTCACTTTCCAGCAAATGTCCAGCATCCTTTGAATTTGTTTTGATTCCTTTTGATGGCTTTGATGTCCTTTTGGTTCCTTTCAATTTCCTTTTGGTTCCTTTTGATATCCGTTCGGTCCCTTTGGATGTCCTTTTGACTTCCTTTTGATGTCCTTTTGATTTCATTTAGATCCTGAGTCGCTGAGTTTACTACGTAATACACCTTTTTCCAATTCATCCCCGTCAGCTCCAAATAGAACATACTGCAGCACACACGCAATAAACATGTGTAAAAAACGTATTCAACAATACATATATTCTATTTACACCCGCAGCCGTGCAAATAGAATACACACCCCTTTTATTCGAGAGCATTTCTTCCATTTTCTGCACCATACTATAATCAGTATTCCTCCTTTTGCTACTCCCCACCCCCAACATGCAGCTTATACTGATTCCACAGTAACAGGATTGAACAAGAAAAGCATAGAAAAGCACATCAAATCATAAAACACCCCAATTCTCGAATTCTAAAGTCACGGGACCCTGCATCATCGACCTCGGGCTCTATCCGGGGTTCTGAACGGCTATCAGTTATCATCCAGCTGACAGAAACTGCTGGTGATGCTGGTTCCACAACCCGTCTCACAGCATCTCCTTCCCGCTTAGGTGTGACTAGAGGTTTGTATATACATATATAGGGACATGTTAAAAATAGCAACATGTTCAAGAGACCAAAACAGGTTGAACAGCCCTTTGTCGTCCATCCCATATGTACCGCTACAGGGTCCTAGTTCAGGTCTCTCAACCTCTCTTGGCAGGTTTAACAGTTCAAGGAGAACGTTCACCTGGAGTGCGGGCCCACCCATGCCCACCCATCCTCCGAGCGGTCATGTCGCCGGCGCGAGGTGCCACGGCGGTCGTCCTGCAGGAACAGCGTTCCGGAGACTCTGCACCGTGCACCGCTTCGGGAGCCAAACACTGGAGGGGGTGCTCGGTGGCTTTCCGTTCGAGCCTTGGACTGGAAGGTTGCCCAGACACGACCTGTCTGGGACTGCCATAGGACTGCTGATCAGGCCAGGGGTGGGCCATGAGGGGTCAATGGGGCGGCATATATGGCAGTCCCATGGAGTGTCTGGGTTGATCTATGTTGATCTTTTTGATGTGGGTTGGAGTGTGCCGATGGCGGGATCATTGGTAGTATGGTGGATCAAAACCAGTCACCTGTCATAGCAATATAGCATGAAATAGCATGAAGGGGCAATATTAGCTATTTCAACCAAACCCGACAAGTTTTGTTGCTTGCAACGTGTTTCGATTTTGACCTACCTCTTGTGTTTGCACGCTTTTGAACGTAGACAGCCACCTGTTGACCCTGCAGAACAACACTCAACACTACAATACCATCCATATCACCATATCACATGAAACGATATCAAAGTTCTGCTTTTATCCTCTCCTTTTAGGGTGCCACCACGCTCATTCTTCACTTCTCCCTCTTGGGTCCGTTTCGCACCACTGCTCATCCGCAGCTCCTTGCGATCTCTTCGGCCACTCTCCTTCCGGTCCCGCCTCTCCTGCGGGTTTTAAAGCGCAGCGTGGAGGCGAACGGCCCGCCCTTAACGGCTTAGGGTGAGACGGGTTCCATGCTTTTTGGTCGCCAACCTTCACAGTGAGTCACTGGGGAAAATTGTCCCTCACCTCCCCCACCAAGAACATCCTCCAAGAATCCAAGAACATGCCCACAGGCTGATCAACTGCAGAAAACCGGCAAATGATTCAAGACGATTTTGGGAATGGCTGCTGAACAAACTGAGGCGCGCAGTCCCTGAGGCACAAGGAAATGGCCGGAGACGATGGCACCGGATTGAATCTGATTTGCCCATCCTGCTGACTGACTAACTGTCAATGGGCCTGGCCTGATTGGGACTGTATGCATCCAACGTCTGTCTGTGTTCGTTTCACCGAGGTTAACTGCTATGAATTATCGTCTGTCAAACGGTTTTTGGCATTTATCGTCCTCATTTGCACAATGCATGACACCTTACCTCCTTCTCAGCTGCACTGTCCATCTTAGCAGTCTTAGCAAGTCCAATGGATAATGTTCCGCCTCGGCAGTGTTGTACCACCCAAGCCTATATGGGAACATGGTGCAAGAAGTGGGTAGCCACAAGGTCGTGATCGCCATGTTTTCAGGCCAATAAGTGGCCCGCCAAGAAACGAAGCCCTATTCACGGCTGCAAACTGCCAAGGCCGTCTCCATACTTGCACCTACTTCAAAGGGACCTCAGGAATGCCAAGTTAGACCTGAAGTATTTGAGGGTCTTGGTCTCCTTCAGTGAACTGCAGTGAGGGTCAAGCATGGGCGACTGAAGAGGGAGCAAAGCATAGGTGTTAGGATCTGAACTCATTTGTTGGCCGATATTTATGCTGTGATCACAGATCGCAGTCAAGGTGGATGTTGCTTCAATACTTACTCCGCTGGAATTGAACTTCCGGAAGATTGAAGCCGTGTGACATCTCAACAGTGTCTCTAAAACAGTGTGTGATGTAAATCATAATTAGAATATCATAGAATATGTTGAATATACAGTATACGACCTAAAAATAAATATATATATATATACTGTGTACATATATATATATAGCGCATATAGTACCGTATAAATATATATATATATATTATATATGTTTTATAGTTGACACGAATTGAGACTCTTGAGATGTCTGGATCCCGGACACCTCACGTGACTCACCGCTCCTCAGAGCGGTCCTCCCGGCCGCGGCGCCGGTCGTCGCGGCGCCTCTCCTCCTGGCGACCACGCTGCCAGACATGCTCTGAACGGACTGCCGGGGTACCGGGAGACT